CTTTTCAATCTACATCATCCCTCCACCTCTTGAATGTATTAAGTGTAAAGTGGCATAGGAATTGGACATGTATCAAACAAACCTGCCTGGAGCAAAATTGATTTTATTCACATCATTCTCAAGGATGCATTTTCATGCGTGATTCACAACCGTTCCCAATGCAGGTGATGAGAAAATAAAGGGGGACTGATTTGGGGGTTATCAGATATAAATCGGAGTACCATGAACAACTACAACACTGTACTAACTAGCAGGAATTTAGTCCCCCAAATTCCATTTTCCTTACACAAAAGAATGAGACTGATTTATGCACACTGCTCTGGTTTGATGAAAAGCTGTAATTTCAGGATTGCACGAGCATGTATGTACTTGATGCAGGCAGGCAATGACATCTCCAGTATTGTCGCCTAGGCTTTTGTCAGACAGTAATGTCTTCGGTAATTTATGACAAGCTGCACACCCCAATTGACCTAATAGCACAGATAATTTGGGACAATAACACGGCTCCGATCGATGATGCTGCTCTACACAGCGCCCTCGTGCATGCGTATTGGGTGACTAACTCGGTCTGTGAAAATACAAATTCACACATTGCTAATGCATGCATTTTGGCTTGCGTATCTCAATGAGGTGTCGGAGGCATGGCCGCCCGCCCGGGCTTGGAGAACGCAGGAGGATAATTGAAAGGAGAAGACCGAGAATGAAAAGAAGGGTTACCATAATACCCTCAGGTGACTCCGCATCTTAGCAAAGATTATATATGGTTACGAACAGTATTATGAGAATATATAAAGTCATCTTCACTCTCATTTCAAGCACAATCTTAAGGGAATCAATTCGATTTTCAGAGTAAAAATAAAAGCCTGGATTATCAGGAGAAATGGGGAGAGTATTATTTAAAGAAATATAGCGAGATGAAATTACTTCTTGCCTTCTTCTTGCATGACCATTGCACACCAATACTGTAATGGTTTTATTCCATCAGTTTTATTCCATCAGTTGTTGACTTATTTTGGGCTTTCTTTCAATGAATGCCCTATTCTTCAGTTCAGTTCTACAAGAACCTTTTCAAACTTGGTTCATAAAAAACACCACTTCCCCGCTGATGAAGTGTCTTATGCTTATAGTGGCTAAAAAGAGACACCACTGTTTTCTTAACTTGTGACCCATGTGCTCCTACAAACAAAGTGGAATGTTTTCCTACAGAGGCACAGCATTCTCAGGGCATATGCTCCAGAATAGTTCTCCCCTCTCGTCTTTCCATGCTCAGTGCAATCACGGCAAGGATTTGTGAAATACTATTTGATTTTCTCTTTGTAAAAAAGATGGAGAGTTTATTTTCACTCTTTAAAAAAGAGCACTATGAATCTTATGAATGTTATGAATGCAACATATACTTTCCTTACATGTTTTTGAGCATTAAAAAAGAAACAAAAAAGTGCTATGACAGTTCAACTTGAAATTTTCTAGACATGATCAATGACTTTATTCAAATTGATGAGAGACAGATTTAGACATAGGAAGGCAACAGGATGAGAGAAGATCTGATTTTTCTTTCAAATCCTAAAAAGTAAATGTCACTGATAACGAACTTGATATAAGCGGTTACAAGATGACTTCATACCAAGCAATTTAAACCAAATTCTGTCAGCCACGTCTTCCATTTTATTCGGTATCCTATCCCTCATGAATTAAAGAATCCCACCGTTATATCAGGGATATCAGCAATCAAAACAAATTAATCTCATGAAAGTCACATAGGTCCTAAACCAATGGCTTATGTTCCAATCAGGGCCCCTTGAGAGTATGCTACGTTTCCCTCTTCTTCGGCCTGTGCTGAGCAGATTACGATAACATTTTTAAGGTTCGTTTGCGATCTTGATCAACTCCACTGAACTTGGCCCATCGTCCCTCGAAACACCTCAGGAAATTCTACATTGCTCATGTGGGCTTTTTCTTTCCTGGAGAGCTGCAAGGAAATTGGCCGAGCTATTTGACGTTGTTCCTGGGACACTTTGGATTGAGTGAGAGGGGTACCTTCAAACAGCGGCAGGGTCGATCAAACAATGGGTCTTTTGGGTCTACGATAGCACATATCCATCTTTCAACCATCTAACCATCAACCATCCATGACTTCCCTACCTGAATTCTTTCCATTCTAAAAACATTTTTTTTGTTGGTAACAAACTATAACCTAACTTGTTTTACATGAACCTACAAGTGCAAATCATAATTCAAATTCCGCTGGAAAATAGAATGAAAAATATTGTCTCCTCGCTTTGACAGGGTAGTTTTCTGCATGTTACCCTAGTGGCCTAGTGTATCTCCCCTTTGAGAAATAAACCCTTTTAAACTCATTGATTAGCTTTCTCCTCTAAACTCCCATGGTGTCAGACATGTGATTCCTTCTTCATCAGACACCTTGTTTCAACACTTATCATCATGGAGACACTGAAAATTGAATAATTTCCCCTTCCAAGTTGAGAGCTGGGCGCACATCCCCATGTTCAAGACACATCGTGAAAGCAACACAAATATGTGTTAGCCATCCTCTGTAAATCTTGCGGGATAGAGATTTCTCCCCTTATCTTTCTATCCAGTCCTTATTAGAGAATGCATTACCTCATAATAATGTTCATGATGATCTTGGGGGGTTTCACAAAGGACTTAGGTGGGACAAATGGTTCCTTGGTGGCCGAGACTACAATTACGTGGCCATGCACTGGAAGTGAGTTACTTGTTGTGACTTCCTAAGCAACAGCTATAAAATCTTAAGATGGGACCCACAACAATGTTAATCGGATGTTTGATAAACATGAACTCTTTTTTTACTTTTTGGCTCTTTAGAAAAATTGGTCCCCAAGTATGGGAATTGATCGAGCAGCCTACTTGTGTTGTAATTATGCTTGTATAGTAAATAAAATGAATCAAGATCAATTTTAAGACAGCAATCACTGTTAAGTTGGTGGTGAGAAGAAACAGCAAGTTGGATCCGAGACAGGACAAGAATACGGATTCCAGTGTGGCTGAATATCAGACTAATGATTTGGACAAGAGGAAACCATGACAACTTGGCATGATGTCATGAAAAGTGAATTCACAACTTGTAGGTTTTGCTGCCAAATGGAATGGGTACATGTCTCATTTCCCTGTGCTCAGGAGAGAAGGCTGCGTATAGGCTTACAAAATAAGTGATGGGGGCAACAACAAAAGCAACAAAGGGAGGGGGGGGGGGGAGACGTGCCCGATAGCCGTGACATTTCAAACTGTCATCGGAACTCCAAGTTGAGTGATTTTTCCTCTCCTGTCTGTTGTTTCACACTATTTTTCCCATTGGCCCTTGCTGGAAGTGCAGAAAAGTAATGCAAGCAATCATATTGAGAATTCCATTTATGTTTCCTCACATAGTCTACCTGAATCAAAACGACACCATTAACAAAACCAGTTACTTCATCATTTGTATATTTGCCCACTGGATATCATTTACTGTGAAACTCTACAAATATCTCTAGGATACATTCATGAGAATGGAAGTTTTGTTTACCATTTTGAGATATTGAATTTAACATCTAGAAAGATCCATGTACTGTAATAAAGACTATAACATTGATTTTCATGAACATTTTCATTCTAAGCACCGCAGAAATCAATTGACACATTACACAAACAAAAAGAAAGTAAAAAAAAAAAAAAAAACTATCTAAGCCAAGGGAAAGGAAAGGATCGCAGTCTGCCTGTCCAGTAAGGGTGACTTATGTGAAAGCATTTCCTTGATGTTACGTAATAAATAATTGTAGAGGAGACATGAGCAATCTCCCTTCCTATTATTCCAGTTGGCTCGTAAAAATCTGCCATGTGATGAAATACAAGCGAATGATTAACACTTCTCTTGAAGCTTAAATTTTATTGTAATTAATTGTTATTACTCTGATTTGTTTTTACTAGAGATAAGACTGTCATCATCAGATGATAAAGGGAAAATATTAAGCTTCTTGATAAATAATAATAAATATCTTTAAATTTGGTTGAATTACAATCATTGGGAATAATTTCTGTTTCAAAGCTACAATATATTTACAAATGAATGCAGATCTGGAATACTACAATTTGACCTCTGGATATATATATATATATGATGGCTTCTAAATTAATATTTCCAATATATCACTTGGGAGATTCTGCACAATTGTAGGGGCCATGCACTTTCAGTTGGCTATTCCAAACTAGATCCAAAGATGAACGACTTTGCGTTGTAGTTTTTCTAATACACTATATGAAGGTTTACTCGTCGTTCCAGGAATGACAGGTTTTCACAAGGTAAAATGTATTACGTAACTTAATTGGAAAGGTTTGGCAAGACTTTCAAGCTAATTAGGAGACAGACAGCTGGGATAGGGTTGAATAAACATTTCAGGAAAACAATTTCAAAGGAATTAAAAATCAATTGTTGTTTTGCTCATCAAGTATCCATAGGCACGCCACCCAAAGCTAGTCGCAGGTCATTACAAGCTTCCAGTTATCACTCAACACCCCAAACAGATGATCAATTATTGTACAGATTAGTGACTACACTGTAGTAAAGATTCATGCAAGTATCTACATGGAACAAAGCAATATGAGGGACGAGGGATAGGGGGTTGAAAAAATAGGTGTTTCAAGGAGGGAAATTAGTGTATCATAGGCTACTGGAAAGGATGAGTTCATGTAACAGCTCCCTATAAGGTCTCTCCATAGTACAAGTCCATCAAAAACAATTTAAAGTCCGTCTGTACTAGTTCTGCCAGAAGGGATTAGACCATCCAGCGAGGTCACTGACAGGTGGCCATCTCATCAACTCAGCTCTCAATTAACGTACAAAAAGAGGATCATGGGGGACCAATGGTCACTGATTATACATTGTTTGCTATATAGAGGGTGCAAGTAGCTACAAGAAGTACAGTGGGGCTTTAAAAGATCCCTTCTTTTTCAATGCAGTTAGTAGAGAGGGGCGGTGTACTTACAGGAGGTTCAGACTCTCAAGGTGGGTGAAGAGATCACGGGGTAGCGATGCAATGCGGTTACGGTTGAGCTTGAGGATCTCCAAGGAACGAAGGTTATTGAGGCATCCCTGCTGTAGTGTGCTGATCCGGTTGTTCTCCAACAGCCTGTCATGGCAGGAAAAAGATGGCAGATAGCAGTAGGAGAAAGAAAGAGAGAGAGAGATAGAGAGAGAGAGTTAGAGAAAGGAAAGAAGAAGGGGCAGGAATATGAAGGGAAAAAAGAACAGAAATAAATAAATAACAGTTTACGAATTCCAATTTTAAAATAAGCTTTCATTGGATAAGAGAACACGAATCTGCACAATTGTTATTTTTGTTTTCGGACTGAAGCTATAATCTTGACTTTCTTGCAATTTTATGGCACTGGGTTAGCGAAGGGGCATGTAATAACGCATTTTTATTCATTTTTAATTGTGGCTCCATTTTATTGGACATGCCAATCTAATCACTCTTTCGTCTGTTTTCCTTGTGCATTGTCAATGTGCAATCATTCCACCTTGATGGTCATTGCAGTATGATAATGTCAACATGGTCATTTCCAGCCAGTAAACCATCAACAGATACATGACCACTTCAATGACCTTGCCAGAAAGCTACTGTCATCATCCATTAGACACCTCACTCTACCCCCTCATCCCTCCATCAAGCAGCCTTCCACTACCACCACCACCATCATCATCATCATCTACATCGTCATCCCTAACCCTGTGCTCACCGCAACCACTTTAATTAGTATCACCACAGCCTGCATGCCCCGCGTTAGGCTACGTAACCCCCTTTCCACCACTCTGTGATGCCACAATCGTCTTAACCCTGCGCCATCACTCATCCGGTCCCAGTCAGGTAAAGAATGGCCACGACCGAAGAAATCATGTCCTATGCAGTTCAGGCCTAATGCACATCCGCATGTTCTTATGCATTTACGCAAATGGGTTGCATTAAAGAATATGTGAGTTACATTGTACTGTATTAGTGAGGTCCATTTTGATTAATGAAAAGTAACCTGTCAAGATGTGGCAACTACCCTCCTCCCGTCTAATCACAGAATACAGATACACTGAAAACATATTTGATTTGTTGATTTCTAAATCTAGTAATAACAATACATTTCTAACATCAATAGCCTCTCAATGTTCAGTTTCCAACCATCTACCAAAACTACTGGAAAATACCTGGATGCTTTTGGGGGATTTGATGGGAGGACATCATTTTCTTGTCGGTCCAAAATATTGCTGACATTAGTCTGATACACTGCTGTCAGCACAGGCAAAGCTTCTTTTCCTGCAGTACATCAATCTTGCCTGCCTGCCTGCCTGGGCTTTCTAACCCACTTGCCTCAGGTATTATCCTGCTATCCCCTGGACTACCCTTTAATGAATTTGGTCAGCTCCTCAGATTATGGCACAAAAACCGGGCTCTCAGCGAGTTTAGATGAAGAAATAAACTAGCCAGTTTAAAATTAATGTTTTTTAATTTGAACTGTATGTACATGTGTTGTGTTATATAAATGTATGTCAACAATGAAAATTAGTGTTTTTGTTCTCTTTTAAAGAATTGTTGTTTTCATGATTAAATTTTAAACAAGGTTCATATCAGAATATTGCTGAAGTACTTCAACTACATTTTTTTTATCTAATCTCATGAGGTTTTTTAAGCGCTTATATTCAATCTGAATTGAGAATTTGCTCAGAAAATCTTAAATACCACATCCGAATCAACCCTTTCAATATTCCTGCACATCCAATTCTCAAAATTAAAAGCAACGTGAGGACAGAATCTATCTATAGTTTCTAGAAATCTCCTTTCATTTCCCACTGTTCACGTGTAATTCTAATCTCTTTATTTCAATCAAGTTTGGAGGAGCTGGAATTAACCTGAAAACAGTAATCACGATTTCTACCACCCCTCGGGGAAAGTTAAAACACTTGTCACCGAATACGGGTCTTATACAAACAGTTGCAGAGCGCCAAATGTTTTAATCCATTACGAATCGGAAATGGGTGATGCGCATCTCTACCTTTGTTAGCCTACTAATCCCCACTAGAGGATGAAACAGCACTCCAATTTACAAGAATGGAAGAAGGTGAAGACGAGTAAATATAAAAATGGATTGGAAGCTAGCGAGAGGTGAGACATGCTAAAAGGCACCCCTAGGTTATACGACGTTCCATGTACGGAAGAGGGTTACAGTTATTTGATTTGATTTGTAAACCCTACTTTAGTTTGAATACAAATTTGCCCGTGAGAAATGTGCATTTGTCCCCAAATGAATTCAGAAACTGTGAAGAAACAATTTCACCCTTATTCAATCGAAATACAATTTCAATTAAATAATACTCCTGACAAAAAGTTTTATGAAAGCAACATTGTGAAGGCCAAGAACACTTATAAAATGTTCTGCTATTTTCCTTGGATTAAACAAAATAACCTGATGTTTTCTTTTCTTCACCCAATGAGTGACTAAGCAGTTACAAGGAAATTCAGAAATGAATTCAAGACTTACTATTAATAAAAGTGGCCTTAAAACCAAACCCAGGATCTTTTATAGATCATTAAAGTTCAGATTTCTGTTTCACCCTTCTTCTTCTTTTATCTTTTTCACATCACTACATGTTCAGATCTCTATTTTGCATTTTCTTTTGTCTTTGATCAAAACCTTAAACGTTGCTTACAGGAATTGGAGCCGATTGTCTGTCGGGAAGGTGTCCGTCCGCAGATGGCCGATACGATTGTAGCTCAGATCTAGGGTTCGTAATGACGTCAGGCCACGAAGTGCTGCTGGACTGATATTTGTTATCCGATTGTGATGTCTGAAAAAACAAAAAGCAAAGAAACATTATATGGTCATCTAAATCAAAACTTGATACAGTATTTTCCAGCATCATCATCATTGCAAATAAGATTGGTACCAGTTGGGAATTTCTTGCGTTAAAAAATGAAACCAACATGTAATAAACAAAAAAAAAATACTTCCCCCTCATATCTACCATGATTTTTTCTTCTCCAAATCAAATATCAAATTAAAAGAAAGTACTAATAACAAACTTAGAAATGATTAATACTGTCTCATAATCACTTAATGTAAATGACATTTACATTTTTGTCCTACTATCAAATCTACTCTGAAAAGCTTGAGCCGTAGAGTACTTAATTCAAATGTATTTATCATCAACAGCCACAACTCATTCCCATGGAGTGCAAGAGAAAGTGAATTTAGGTGGTGGGATTAAAAGGATTAGTGATTCGAATTATCACCGGATGACAAATTGTAATCCACTAATCACTGATATGAAGTGATCATCCTTCAAAATTTCTCAAATAAAATCAAGCCTTCTACCTTTTTCCTCTTTTAGTTAACATATATCTTATTATAGATGTTTTCCCATTAAAAACAAATTGTGAAAGTCATGGGAAAATGGTACAAAACACAAATTTTAAAATGTAACTGTTGTAGTTATAATTTTTGCCTATTGCAAAAGTCACTGAAAATACACCTTAAGTATGTTACATAAAAATCATGAAAAGTTTTTTTTTTCTCACTTTAATTTTTAAATCATTTTGGACTTTCAAATTAAGTTGTGGTAACATATATTTTATCTTTCCATATTTCATATCCACATTTCCATTCAAATTTCTCCTTGTATATATTCATGAAATTACTTATGAATGTAACAGGAAAATTAAAATATAGCCCTTATATAACAGAACTACCCCACAAATTACAAACCCTATAGCATGAATGTGACAAACAGGAAACTTAACGAGTCCATCAGTTTTGAGAAATCCTACTTCACTATGGGCCTACCACCTTTAGCTCTCTTTTTACTTATTGATGTAAACAAAGTGACGACAACTGAATCTGACTAAGCTTCCTCGCATTTACTTCAAGCCAGCTCATCATCACCGATAACAAGTTTTGGGCAGACGAGGGCGCTGCTTCTGGTGTCATCCAAAGTGCATTCCCCCTCCCGTGTCTACAAGATTTCCTTTAGCAGATTATATCATACCCGGTACATACTAGAGTAGATGCTCATCAGATTAAAACAATGTTTTTAGAATTTCCCAATGATGAACTGAAGAAATATGTCAGGGTTTTCGTACAGAATGGTAAAATGGGATAGGCCTATCGGATCCTTTTCTATTTGTACTACCTATGCCTATTTGCATGGAAAGGAAATCATAAAAATCACACACCAGTTTGTAGCCAGACTTCAAGAATCGGCTACTAACCGGTTAACTACTAAATTCTCTCATTCGCACAGGCTTAATACAGGGACTACATGGTTCATGCACTCAATGGGTTAAGAATATGTGACCCTACAATAATATGTACATGAACTTTGTCACACGCCACTGAGTAAATTCATATATGAGACTTGTTTTCATTATCAAGCGTCTTATCAATTTAACTCATCTTTTCTAGAACTGGAATGCAATTGTTCACATTCCCTCATGAGGGGAATACATGTCGTCTGGAATTTTGTCTAGCTATTATTATTATATGTGAATCTTTGAACTTCCAACACCGTCTACTGACAACCCGGCTAATAGCTGTTTAACACAAGCGCCGAAAAATGCTGCATCACTCTCACAGATGCCGCCAGAAAAATAAAAAAGTTGATCATCGTTAACAAGGTGTGTCATTGCACCTGAAGATTAGTCTTCAACCACAGACAAATTACAGCTCTCATCCACTCTTATGGACTTTCTCAAGCAAAATGATTCTTGAACACAAATTGCCTACTCAATCTTAAGGTTGGTATTACTATTATAAGATTAAACTACATGTAATGATCCCCTCCCCACAAGGCCCAACCAAAGAAAGTTTTCTGTATCGGCTCTAAAATATAAGAGGAATGGATCAGGGACACTAGTCACAACATTCTATCAAAGCAAATCTTGGCATAGGCATTGAATCTTGTTATCATAAGCCTATAATGAAAGAGTGGAAATGAGATTTTCCTCTATAACAGGTCCAGGGTTCTGACGTTCAAAGTGCCTCAATGCTTTATCGAAGCAATGTTACATACATCTACTTGACTTTGTATGTAGAGGGACAATGGAAGTGTAGGGTGCAGAGTGGATGGGTTAAAGTCAGATGGTGCTAAGCAAAGTGGTGCCCCTGCAAAGAGCCTAGGACGTGTGACTCAGAGGAGCTGACAAGGCTAGATAAAGATCCGCGGGTGGAGGGAATACCATTAGGTGGATCTAAACTTCTAATCCCTTTCATACCTAATGGGGAAACTTGTTAATCACGCTATTTAACAGCGTTTTAATTCATATCATACACTACATGTAGTCTATATGAAACAAGTTCAAACCAAGCCTGTTTCACAAATCCATATAATGTACAACATGACAATGGGAAACTAAATATTCTCAAAACTTCTCTTGAATTTCAATTTACAAACATGTAATGGGCAAAGAACACAGAATTCCATTAACCAAATGAACAATCAAAATTAACTTAAAAATCTGACTTTGACCCACTATAACCCCCTCTCACTTCCCAATCATTCTAATGAAAAATCTCAATCTGTCCTGTACCTCAACAAATGAAAGGGAGGGTGTACACCTAGTAGTAATGTCCAGCAGTGCTTTCACTTCAAGTTTTAAAGTGTAGAAAGCGCAATGATGAAGCACATCTCACCGGGCAGCACTCAGGAACAACACATAGCCTTCCTTGAGGAAGATATGTCTTCTCCAATAAGCATCAATCAGCACCGTCAATGAACACAAATAGGAGAGTCCTACTAAAAGCTGGGTCAAGGCAATGGGCGGAATAAAACAGCCAAATGGGGAGGATGCAAAATGAGTCCCCGACAAGAGCAGAGTAGATAGAAGAGCTGTGGGGTTGCAGTAGGGAATGGGATAGGAAATGAGGAGTGGAGGACAGAAGAGTGATCTTGCCCATTTAGGAGAACCTCCCACTCCAATGTAAAGTTCATTGTGATAAAGTGTGTTTGGAATTGAGAGGGACCCAATACAGGGGATTGGGGGAAAGAGGACAGGCAGTGCCGCAATGCATGTATACATTCAGCAGTACATTGGCATTTTCTTTTCTCTTTCTTTGGATAACAAATATATGTATGCATAAATATGCTTATGAAAATTGGATAGAATATGAAGATATATATCTTAACAAACCTTTACAACGTAACCCTTCGTCATATGCAATTAAGCAATTAAAATTGTAAGTCAAATTCTATTACGAGCTATATGTTTAGTAGTCCCACAGTTTAACAGTCACTTTGAGATACAAAAGGAACTGACATTTTGCATATTTTCTTAGTCTTACAAAAAGTTATAAGCAACTGATCTACATAAATGCAGCAAAATAAAGATTAAAAAAGGTAGATGTAGCAGTGGGTGACAGGTTGGAAATCACGGTAGAAATAAATGCAAGAGAGAAATTGTAAACCATGGGCCTTGTGTGAAAATGCTCTCAAGAGACAAGAGAAGAGGAGGGCAGGGTAAAACGAAAGAGGATAAAATGGGAGTAAAGAAATCCCAGTCATTCTCAAGATAAAAAGCCTGATGATGTGTTTGCCCATGTTTTATTCCCAGGCAAAGTTTTGTTTTTGTTTTATTCATGGTCGTTGAGAAGCCTGCTTGAATATCTTGTGCCTCATCCAAGAGTGACCCTGCTATGCCTACATAGAGGTGTGTAATCACTGCTTCATTCACTCAGGCACCAGGCCCTGCATAACATACATGTCGTTTGAAAGTCAATGAGACAAATTGCTCCAAGGAGTGAATAATTTATGATGTCGACATAAAATCGTTGAGAATGGCAGCAATGGGCCCAGGCAGCGCTCCGTTCCAAGGTAGCGCACACAACAACTTTTCATGTTCGCAAACGGTTCTGAAAGGAAGGCTTTAGGAGGAGAGAGGTCACTCCCTATTCAGTTGTTTTGATCGCCAACGTTTTGATCGGCACAAAGACATAATTTAGCCTGCCACATTCTCACCTCCGAAGAACCATGAAAGCAAATCACCTTTTGTGTGTTTCACACAGCCCCCATCCAATTGGCCAATTGGCCAATACAAAGGTCGGAGGTTATGGGGTGCTTTTGAGAAGCACTCATGCATTATTCAATCCCGCACTGAATGACACACTCCAAACAGGGCACTTGAAGGGAAAACGCCAGTGCTGAGTGAGTGAACGACCACTGAAGGTTAGTCACAGTGTTGGGCAATGCAAGGGAGAGGCACTGGGAATGGACACTAGAACATGGGCTAAAATCACCCATTATTATGCCACCATCCCTTCCTCTAACTCATCTCACATTACAGGTATATGCATCCATCATACCTAATTGCAAATCCGAAAGAAAGTATCCACCTTAAATAATTAGAAAGGCAGCATTGAGCACCGTCCGCGAATCGTGCCATAAATACAAATTCATGAGTACAGGTGTTTAAGGGGGGAGGGGGGTCACAATCATTGATTTAAATTCAGCTGCAAAACAGAGTGGATATCAAGAATATCCATTTGCACTGCATTCACAGAAATAGATATGACTTTGATTTGAGTGGGTTCCCATATTGAAATGGCAATGACCTCACACCAATCCCAATGGTACGGGACTGATACAGGTTCACACATTTTGGGTCTTTTCAGTCACTTATTAGGGAGTACCTCTTGGAGGGGTTACAATCTTCATTTCTACAGGCACCTCATGTGTGAAAAGAGGTTATATCAGGTCAACTTGAACATCGACTTAGTCTTCAAAATATATAACAAAGATGATGTCTTTCAACTTTACTTTCCTTTAATTTTTAAATTTCAAACCAAATCAACACTACCAAAACAGCAATGGCTTTACCCATTCTTATAAAATCATACATAGTTTGACTAACCCGAAGCACAAATATTCTCAATTAAGGAGGCCTAACAATTTATAGCTTTACTAAAAATTTGTCATTCAGTGTATATTTTATGCCTACTATGATATGAATATATGCTTGCCTGCTTTTGTTCAACATAAGGAAGCATAAAACTAAAATCATTCATAAAAATACACTACCAAGATAATTTGAAGTTTTGCACGTTCTCTAGCATTTTTACGAGATGAATGCGAAAGGGCTAGTCTGGTACAGGTAGACTAAAGGCTAATGACCAGATTTCTCCAGCGCACCTTCTTTCTCAACACTAACCTGAAGATTGTTGACTTCATGTGGTATCCATAAACACCTTCTGTTTTCATCCTAAACAAGGGAATTACATGGATGAGATCACCCCCCTTTTGTTTCCTACCGCAAGATAAGTTTCGCTATATACATTCCGGTCTTCTGGATACGGGGATTGAGAGTAAAAACATGGCTGGATTGTCATGGAGCTGGAGCCTATCACATTCCCGCCTATGCCCAATATTTTATTCATGATGGAGATTATCGAATTCGGAAATCTCCAGTCGTATGGGAATAATATCAACAGTTATGACAAACTATTTCATCTAGGCCTACTCCCAGTTTCAGAGATGTACTGCACAATGTCCATATAAATTTCTTTAATTTTTAATCTCAAGATTAATCTAAAATTCATTGCCTAACTTAGCATCTCCCATGCAAATTCATAGCTGTAGAGGCCTATCTCTCTCGCTACTTGTCTAATCCTTTGGGAACGAGAACGAGAGTTCATCCCGACTAAAACGCTTTCATCACCTAGCGTCTCTCTAATGAGGATACCAGATTGCTCAGGTGTTCGCTTTACACCACGTTTTTTGGATGAGGGTGTAGGACATCAAAGAGACAGGCCAGGGTATTCATTCTCCTACCTAGCCCTGCTTCGCGACCACCGAGATTCAATTTCCTTTCGGCACATATGGAATGTTTTTCTTCCCTCTCAGCACACCTTTCGCTTTCAATTATAAGGAGGTCATTCACTCCTGAAGGAACTGCTTGCAGCCATCTGAAGATCTCAAGATACCATATGTCATAGAAGGGCTGCATATATAGCAAGACACTTTGGGGATTTTGAATGTATAATGTTATGAAATACACAGAATTTTAAAGTCATCAATTTGACAGGCAAATGTACAGCTTAAGATCTTAATTCCAAAACCTATTCATTAACAGTTTCGACTCTAATTTTCATCACAAACTGTTAAACATTCTGGCAAATGTTTAATCTATAGTATCTGTTAAAACCTCTAAATTAAATTAATCCGTGTATTTAAACAACCAAAAGAAATGATTGATGAAAGCACTGAGGAGAAATGCTAAAGATAGATAAATATCAATGACAATGTGTGGGCAGTTGTACATCTTCCTATTACAGAACAGTGATCCTGTATGGATACACTGCATGCATGGTGAAAACACAGATACCCCACAAGAAGTTAATAAAGTTCCTATAAACCTTGTATGAAATATCATTAAAATTTCTTGTTGAAAACCTAACCAAGGCATACACCTACAACTTTTAAAAAATCCACCCATCATCATAAACAAGTCTCTGTAGTAAATGTAGCCTACCACAAGGTAATTCCTCCTGCTGCCAAGCAAGAGGGGTCAATTCCATTGCTTATGAGAAAGAAACGGGGGAGAACAACAAAATTTGCCTGAGACACGAGGTCAGGAACGTTTCTTGTTCTTTATTTTCCATCAGGCAGGGGAGCCTAGTTCAAACAGGGTCCTGTTATTTAGTCAAAGGGGTATGAGATGAGTGACAGTCTTGGATCTAGAGTGTACCCTGAAGCCCTGTTTTAATTGATGGTCAAACCAAGGTACTCCTGTACACACGACTGTGTTGGTCTTGCCTCGTCCTTGTGCATGATGCAGGAGGGCAAGGCAACCAATGTTGGTTCAAGCCCCAAGCATACTTCATTTGCCCGAATATTCCTATTAAAAATACATATCTCACTCTTTCTCTTGATTTTTCTATGATAAGGAGTTAACGATGTAAGTAAAGTCAGGTTGCAAGTAAGGGCTCAATATATGAAGAATTTTAGGTTGGCTTCAAAATAAAAAATTGCACCAACATTAGGCAGATATCTATGTCCTCTTACAATAGTGTCCTGGAAAAAGTATAATTTTCGTATCTGAAAATTTTGAATCAATATTTTATCGAGCATTTCTTTTTTTTGGGGGGGGGGGGGTGGGGGAGGTAGAGCGAGGGGGGGTGGGATTTAGCAGGAGGATAGTGAAATAAAATCATTTATGGCCCTCTCACAAACCTTGGATGTTCAATTTACAACACTCAGTGCCTTTGAAGTCCTGCCCACTGGAATTTATGTGAGGAAATTTGGGAATGTAATGATGTGATCAAGATTTATATTGCATCAAGGCTGCATCCAACCATCCACCCAAGTAGCCTACAGACCTTGAAAATGGATGAGCAGAGCCAGTGCAGGGCTCCCTCTTAGTAGTAAGACAATTTAATGTATAATGTAGTTGAGGACCAAAAAGGGGTAAGAAATAGGCTAATGTTGTCTCTCAGTGTACAATGCCATTTTAGCTCAACCATTAGGATTTGAGAATTTAAAGAAAGAACCCCCTGCACAAAAGTAAATAAATAAACATGCCTAATAATTGAAGAACTTACATTTAAAATGGAGGAGAGGCATTATAAATTTCTAAATAGATCATACAACACATGTACATGTACATGTACATGTAGGTCAGCACTTCAACAAATCCAGAAAATGAAACAAAAAGAAATCAATTAAATAAGGGACAGTGAATTATGAATGAGAGACTAGAATCTTATAATATATTCTAATCACTTCCTAAATGGTTTTGACAACTGGGTCATACTGTTTTATCATGGATCTGGGTCAACATTAATACGTTTTTTCTCTGATTCACCAATTCTCCAATATTTATCGATTTCAACACGGCTGCATGAATGAATCAAATGATTTGTAGCGAGTATCACGCTCAGTAATTGAAATTCATGACATTCTTAATCTGCCTGTCATCAATGTCTGATGCTACAGAGCAAGACAATTTTTTGGTAATGAGAGTTCATACATCATTAACAGATTTTGTGCGTAGAATGGCAGGGTGCAAGTGTACCTCTCCTTCGCTGCATTCCCCTCTCTGTGGGTTGTCCAATTAGTTACGAGCCATAACGAGGTGCGGGCGCAACGACGAGAACCTACCAAAGACCTCATCAAGAATAAACGAGTATGCACTGGGACTATGGAGTATAAATGAATGGGCACCTTGGGACTGGGACGGGAGATGAAAGACGTAACTGATGGCTTCCTGATTTGCGAGATGATTAATAGACAACATCAATTCATTCATGAGGAGCGATGAGTTGCCCATCATGGTCGGAGAGAGTTATCACTAGACTAGTGAGCCACAAAGAGAGATTGCTCCATCTTTATGGATTTCTCTCCATATAAATATTGCTAATTTCTCAATAGAAAGGCAATTTCACTCCAGCCAGGATGATTCATGCCGTGGAGATGTGACCAGTTAATAGAGCAAAAACTCACCTTCATTTTGAATTGTGTGTGTTAATCACTGTAGAAATATCTCTATGACGATCTAAATTTGAACTCCACTAATACTGTCTTTTTAGGCTTGGTGTATGATAAACTTTTACTAACTTACATCTTCAATTCAATTTCCCCATTTCTAAAGTCTGTTGCGAAAAATATGTTGCTGGAGACAATTTATTTTTAAAAGGAAACACAACACCTAATCAGTATTTTCATTGCTGCATTAAAATTAAACATTCATTACATAAAATTTAAAAAATCAGTGTAAAAGAAGCCCTCATATCAGAACCATAAATATCACAAGGTGATATCATTTGTAAATATGACTATGTCTCCAATAATGAAATAAAAAATCACAAACTTCTCAGTTACAATATTATCTCCTTTTATTTCTTTAACCCCATTTGCACTGTGTCAGTCATTTAAACATCCTGCTTATAATTGGGCTAAATCAGGAAGACAGGACATACAGTTGATTGGTCCCGTATACCACATCATATCACTTTCAAGAACTAACTTCCTTCGATGTTTATATCACACCTACAAAATATCACTATCAAGAAGGTTAGCTACACTTTGGTCTCAAGTGGCTTCTTGGCAATCAGGAAATTGTCTCTCTTTGGTTTCTTTTAAAATTGAGCAAAGGTGTTCACTTTCATTTCTTGTTGCGTTTGAAAAAAGGTAGGTCACTTACACTTTTCAAGAAAAGCATACCAGGTGATTCTTTGTCACACGAGAAGTTCACTATAGTTCATTCCTTCTGTCCTAGAAAAAAATCTCTTCCTTATTTCACAATTTATTTATTTCTGCTACATAAGGATATACCTGTAAACCATCATTGAAAAAAATCCTATAACAGGAATACTATTGATACTCAATGTTTTCTGAGTGGCATTTCTTTCATTTCAAATTCCATTCTGTACTTACAATATCAACTGAGTCAGATTTCTCGCAGATGGTCCGAGGATGGGTAAAGATGTCAGTTTGTTGGATGCCAATTTTCTGGAGAGAAGAACGAAAGAGAAGATACAAAATATATACTGTAAACATTGACACCATGTAGACATAACAAGATTGATAAAAACATTTCTATTCTAGTAGCTTAGATAAAGCTGTTCTTGTAACCCAAGAAATGATTATGAACATGCATTCAGAGAGCTTCAGTTTAACTTTTTTCCCCTGTAAGAGGTATGGAATATTATTTCCTTTAACATGTAGGCCTACATGTAAGCCCTATATACATGTATATTCAAGAAAAGGTAAAATCATTTTTCATAACATCAAAACATCAAGCACACGAATATTATCTCTTTTTAGAGGGGTCGTGGACATGGCCATTGCCAACCATGAGTAGTGGCACGCCAGGGCATCTCTTCAAATTGGCAACTCCAATTCAGGGTTTCAAATGATGCCTGCGATGACAGGGCCTGTTGCTTTGACCTCTTGCAATCTTCCTCACCAGGGGAGTTACTTTCACACCTTGAAGCCCCCGCTGCCAGCTAACAGGGGACTTGAGAAAACAAGAGTGGCTGGGGCACCCAGGGAGGGTGGGGTATCACCACGGCCGCTAAGGATGGGATGGGGGGTGGGGAGGCGGATGTGCTCTTTAGCCTTAAATCAAGAGGCAGAGTTATATTCGCCAAATTATTTTAAATGGATGATATTAATAAAGGAATATGTCCTAGAAAATGAGAAATATTGCAAGTACCAATCCAATCTACTTCATTTCAATCCAGACTTTAAGAATCTGAAGATTGAACAAACAAAAATGAATAGGACAACTGGGGTATGCCAAAACTAAATCCTTATCCCTTCTATTTGATTGATATTTATTATTTTATCATGTTTCTACTAGATTAACATCGAAATACGTTTCTCTGTTCATCCATACACCATCACTTTCTGCCAGCCAATTTAGACAGAGATAGAGAGAGCAATAAAAGAGAGATATATGACTAACAAGGGAGAGGAGAGGGCAACAGCCTGAACTGTCCCAATACAAACACGACAGATATGTGATCAGAACCAATGAGTGACAAGCAGGCAAGCAAGTTGAGCTAGCGAGCGAGGGGAGGGAAAGCGTGTTAACTTTGTTGTAAGCCACGACTGCATGGGTCAAATGCTACATTCATCATCGTCAGAAAAAAACGTTGAATTATCTAAGCTGGCGCGTTATACGATAATAAACAATATAAATGTTGTTACAGTTTGAGTCTAGGAATACCAATATACATTTGGTATGCCCTTTTTTCATGTATGGCTGGCTGTGCCAAAATGTTGGTACATCCCTTCTGTCTCACGGTCTGTCTCACTGTGCATCACTCATGGTGGAGAAGATATACATTATTGAAATGCAAAATGGCCCCTTTCCTGTGCTCTCTCAGTAAAATAACACTTTCAATTTCATTTTTTTTAAATAACTTTCAATCCAATGATGATTTATATGCCACCGTGAAGTAAAACATCTGTAGTTGGTACTCATTTTGGGTACCATACAGAATAGAGCCATCAGAAGTCATTTTATGGCAATTTTTTTTCTTTCTTTTTTCTGCATCTGGGTACATAATAAATCAAACATACCAGAATATGTTTTCTCAGAATTCAGACCACAATGCAATATTTTCTTTGCACAAAGACACAAATGTATATCGAATAGAATATGTCATCTCATAATATCAAGCCTGAAGTTGTATTCCAAGTTTTTAGTTTAATACTTACAATTGTTGAAGATTTGATAGGCCATCAAAAGTGCTTGCGTTCAATCGTCTTAATTTGTTGGAGCTAAGATCCCTGAAAGAAACAAGAGAAAGGATGGAAATCAATTAATCACCTAAATTGATAGCATTCTTTCTTTCACAAGAATAATAATCCAAATTAATGAAATCATAAAGAACTAGCCTTCATTTTTATAAATGGCTACAATACATAAGGAATAGGTGTCATGCAGCATGCCTGCATTGAGGTGATGACTTTGTCACTAATTAATATGTCTTTATGTGTGGCTTCATCCTATACTTATTTAAGTGACTAATGTATACCATAACTTATCATGTACTTTTATTCAGTTGTACAGCAGGGCTCCACACAGACTGTTTGGAAAGGGTGTCCGGATTTGAGTGTTTAATATCTTTATACATGAGCCTTTTGTAAAAATTTAGAAATGTTGAGGGTCCGGACCAATATCTTTGGCACCCATGTGTCCCAGGCACATGTTAGTGTTGAGTCCTGGTGACAGTTTTTAATATAAATTATTTCATCCTTTTAACAACATCATGTAAATGTCCCAAAATAGGTATATTTGAATGATGCTTGAAATGGGCTCAAAATGATTGATTAAAATGTGATCCCGGTAACTCAAGACCTTTCAGTTTTTAACTTAAGCAAAATATAAAAATCCACCAGAATCACTTCTCTGACCCTCTGCCAATTTCCGTACAATAGCAGGAAATATTTAAGAGATAAAACAAAAACGCTTATCACACTGTCCTTCAGTTTACCTCACAATTTTCAAATAAAGTTTTAAAAGTGATAATGGGGATTTGAACTGAGCTGAATAATCAACTGTTCAACGATAACGGTCTTACAAATGGCTTTCGTAAAGAGCCCCTATCTTCCTTCAATGTGTAATAAGTAATCAAGATATCCCGGTCACATGACTGGCGAGCAAATATCAAGCACTGTTCAAACAGCCGTTAATCTGATTGTGTTTTGGAAAACAGACCTTAGTTTTGCCTTGTTCCGAGGTGCCACCCAACACACGATTTTCACACTTTTTTATCACATAGCACACACTGACTGGGCCAGTCTTTCTCAACATCAAATAACAGGACAGGGTCACACACACATACGTCTTGGGATATTAAAATGGGAAGCAAACACACCATGCCATGGTCCTCCTTAGTCCACCACACCTGACTAAATAAACCAATAACCTTTTACTAAAAAATGTCCAAGCCCCCCCCCCCCCCCCCAAAAAAAGGAGGGATTCTGCGGCCATATTGTCACTGAGATATGAAACAGTTAGTGAGTATTCACATTTATGGATAAGTTGTCAAAACATCTTTAATGAAAGCCTAAGTTTTAAAAAAAGTACTACAAACTACAAAGAGAGACTTTTTTTTTAAATGACATATTCTGGGATGTACATGATGTACAGTATTTAAGATAACAGAACAAGGAAATGAGTCCAACTGGAAAGCCTGAACCTTTTAGCAAATCTCTGGCATTCATCTTTTGCATGACTATCACATAATGTAGTGATTATGCTACATGAGGATTACTGGATAGCATGGGTGGTATGTCAGCCCAGCTCCAGAGCGAGTACCCATACAAACCCCCATCCAATAATGCCTGTTCCGCTCCTACACACTCCCTCCTTGTGGGAATCCTGTTAGCGGAGCGAACCCATGCCTTATTTTTCTTTCCCCCTAGTTCAGGGTCGGGCGGAATCCACCCTAATCCCGGCAACCTTAATCTGCGCTTTGCACTTCCAAACTGGAACCATAGACCCAGAGCAGCATTTACATCATCACCCCCCTTTCTAAAAACACGCTCCGATAATCCCTGCCTGTATGGAGTTGGTAATCCAACCCCAGACAGAACCTGGTTATCGCATACCCTGATAGAGAAGAAGACGGGGACGATCTACCCCACCCTCATAACCTTGCCCTATCTACAACCAAATATGAATGATAGATAACCTATGTATAAAATGAAAGAGGTGTAAGGGCAACCAAGCCTCACAGTACCTCTAGCCTAGGCTTATTTGTTTGTGTGAAGAATATACTGTATGTTTAGGAAAAAGATGTCTAAAGCATATACCTTAGTTTTGAAAAACCACCGCACATCTTAATTTGTCACACAAAAAACCACGATCAGCAATATATCGCGAGTTATTTGAAAAAGTTTTGCTGTAAAAGTGTGTAAGATTTCTGTTTAATTGACTTCACATGCCCAGTAGAATTATTGAAAACAAAAAAAAAACTTCTTGACTTTTTGTTGATTACGATCATAGCTAATAATACAGATCTTCAAACCTACATTAAAATCTGGGACATAAGGGCCTACAGTGGGGATAGACAAAAGAAAGAAGGAAGGAACATACATGTAGGTGTTGGGCAAAATCTGAGGTACCAATCGGAAACAGAACCGAGTATAATTCCGCGGGGATCACATTTCGCATTCACCTCCCGGCCAGCTTTAGTCCACTTTCGCTTGCTGACTGACGTAGTGTAATACCTGTGTCCGTTTCTCTCTCCTTCCTTCCCCAACCCCCCCCCCCCCCTCGCCCTCGCCATCTTACTTCTTGCTGAGCACGGGAGGAAGATTAATAAGAGGCAAAGGGACAGGTGCGAAATGCACCTCGGGAAATGAAGAGAAGAAGAAAAATAAAGCGCTCTGCTGCATGGCGTGAACTTTAATAAGCATTAGTCCACTAACTGGATTGGTGCATATCGAATGCCCCCGTATAGGCCTAGTCTGATGCTGTTCAATACAAGGCATAATTTGCCGAGCCAAGCTGCATACCCAGATTTCAAAATGCCTGAGGAAGAAAACAGATATTATAGATTTTTCTCTCTCTTCTTCCCTCTTTCTCCTTCTCTCTTCTTGCTTAGTGCATATAGGATGAACAACGCAGACATAATGGGATGTCTTTGCTATGTGACGCACTTTACGTATATATCTGCCAAGTGCTCCTTACTCTTTCACTGTATTGCATGAAAATAAATGAATGCCTATAATATGAAAAAGAAAGATGCACACTTTCACTCTGCTTTAATCTACATGTATACCATTATGAGGGTGATAATGAATTCTATCACCTTGGATGATATTTACAGACAACAGTACCCAGCACTAGTATTTCCTTTCTTTGAAATTTTTTTCAAAATTTCATAAATTTTCTGTTATCTCATTACAATTTTACCAAAGTGACAAAAAGACAGATTTTATATTCTACCTTGATAACATTGAATGGAAATGCCACAAATATTAAACATAATATTAACAGAAAGCACAAATTTTATTTTTAGCGATACAAGGGCAGCTGCAATCTACATCAAGTTAATTCCATTAACACAATTTGGATGGTATGGAAATGCATCTACATGTACTGTACTAGTCTAAATAAAAGGTCAGAACATAGGTCAAAATGAAGAAGTAAAAAAAAAGAGAAATAGGATTATCACTGATGCCCCATCGCAATGATTTCTTCTAATTACTGACAGCTCAATTTAGTCTTCAAGTGATTAGGATAGAGTGAGCTGGTATTTTCATGCACCCGTGCTGTTTCCCGACTATCCTCGGACCATGACACACAGCTGTGTCCCCTGTTCTAAGTGGGCCTGTCCATTGTCCCTTCCTAATCTACAGCACAATTGATTTCTTTTTCTCCTCTCCCAACCAACCTTTCTTTTCACGTCTCACAGCCCCCAAATCTATTGAAAATGCCTCATTACTCTAAGCACCCACCACTAACACCACCCATTCCTGGTACGGCACACTCACTCGCGCCTCTCTCTCCCCGTTCCTCTCTTCTCTCGCAATTCGGTCTTTTCCCTCGATCCCATCACATTCCATCAGAGTCGAGTGCTTGCTGACAATAGAGGAGCACTCTTTCACAACACCTATTGTGGCTCGTCTCTAAAGCGCTCCTTTCATGGAGCATGGCCCAACAAAGGCGGGCCCTGCTGAGGGGTGCGAAAGACGATCAAACGACACAAAGGAGTTCCCCTCAGGGAGAATGTGAAATAAACTGGCTTCACACAATGTGGCTTTGCACTAGTCTTCAGACCAAGAGAAAATATAGTAAAAAGAGAGGAATAAATCTTGTGATTAGATTCTATGGGCAGATTACATGGATATAAAGGCAGTCAGTGCTGTGGATGAGCAAAGAGAGAGAGAAAGAGGGGGGGGGGGGTGTAATGGAAATTCGGCTTCAAAGTGCAGGTTATCTGATGACTGATTATATCACTAAAATATAATCAAAAGGAAGCCCAATAAACCATTTAAAATGCAAAAACATGCGCCATTGAATTTTCAGTGTAATTCGGTATCTTGTTGTCAACCATTAACATGTGGAATGTGCAATTTTTGGTCTGACAGACAATTGGAAAATATGATGGTACGACAAGAGAAAGAGCCACATTTTGCACTGCGGGGAGGGAGAATTGTTGTCAATTTCATGCGGGATAGCGTGGGTCCCTCATAATCACTTTCCTGGCATTCAACAAATTGAATTTGAAGACAGTTGTGTGCAGAGCCCTCTCTTCCTCGACACTTGCCAAAATCACATTAACCAGAGCTGGATTACTGCATGGTGTTTATGCAACCCCCGCCATGCTGTGTGGCCCGATCCAACCCCACCAAATTCCCCCCAAAACACAGAAACTAATAGCCCTGCATCAGAAAAACAGTGGAAGAAATTGACGGATTAGATATTGTTTAGAAGCATAACTCCACTTTGCTCTCCCCTCCCTTGTACTTCTTCACTTCTCTCAAGCAGTTTTCTAAATGCCTTGCCACAAAGTACAAACACAAAAGGTGTCGCCGCTGACAAGTTTTGGAAGGGTCCGTCACAGGTGCAGTAAATAAGCAACTTGAATTAGGGTTGAGATGTTGGCACGAAGGAAGCGGCGGGACGGCTGCTGAGTGATGGAGAAGTGTTGGCCAAACATAGTGGTAGTTGGAGAACATGAATGCAGAGATGCTGTCTCAGCCCTCGGTGCATTATTCAGCACATAGCTGGGATTACCCAGTGACAGTGTGTACCCCTCACAACAAAAATCAAA